TGGTAATCAATCATCGGGGAAAGTGGCTTCATTTTCGCTTTCAATATAGCTCTCATCAGATGAAGGGTGGCCGACTATCCTTCTACGCTTCCTTAACCTTGCCGATACTCGTGGCCTTTCCGCTACTGACTCCTCTACTTCATCATCTTCCTTCACCTCCTCCTCCTCCTCCTCTTCCTCCTCCTCTTCCTCCTCTTCGTCGTCCTCTTCCTCCTCCTCCTCTTCCTCCTCTTCCTCCTCCTCTTCATCGTCGTCGTCTTCCTCCATAGTCATCGTCGGAGTACTCACTTGCTTCAATTCATCATCATCATTATTATCAGGACATGATTGCATCGATTGTTTATCGTCTTTAGTGGAGACGACCATGCCAAGTCGTGCTGCATAGGTCGTGTGATAAGATATCTGAACATGAATATCGATACAGACATCCACTAGAGCTCGAGGATATAATCGAACCCACAACCTCCACAATGAGAATCTTGAACATTACCACTATACCATCTCCTCCGGGAAGACTTACCAAATCTCTATCGGAGATGGACCTAGGCTCACACGGCACCAGCATGAGCCTCTCTAAAGGTATCGATAGGGACTCTCCCCATGCCAGCTTCCTAAACCTCCTTTGAACCCTCCTACCAACACAAACTCATCCTACGTCATTCTGATAACCACATCTCTACTACCCCATCCGATGAGTACCGGTGTCACCAGTGCTCGTCGTCACCACTCTTCGTTGTTTTTGATGCCGTCCTTCCTTCGGCTGTTGTTTCTCACCTGCCATACAACTGCCATCCCACCGCCTCACATCCACTACTACTACGTTTGTTAAACTGCGTGACGACTGGACTGCTGCTGCTGCTGCTGCTCTGCTGTTGTTGTTGTTGTTGTTGTTGTGGTGGAGTGTTTAAAATACCACTCTTGAAAGCTGCTCTCTTGGTCATAACCGCTCTCACAATGACAGCCATAGAAAGGTTTAATCGATTGCCGAGAGCCACAATGTCCTTCTCAGGAGGCATACCATCTGATCATCGAGTACTAGACTGGGGAGGATAATACTTAGTCGTACCGTTCAAATGCTTCACCACATACCCATTTAGCACACTTTCTGCCTCGGGTGAGAGCCCACACGAGAGTACTGATAATGATGAGGCGTCGAATGTCCTTTGTTGATGCTGCTGCAGACCAGCAATGAATGATTGAGGCATTGGTTGGTAGAATGATGATGATGATGAGCCACATCTGATATACTCATCATCATCACTGCCGATCA